AAGTCTAGTACAATATGGAAAATATGCAAGTCATTCTTCTGATTTGTCATTTGATTTCCATTTTAATAATAATGACATCAGCTGGTTTCATTTATATATCAAATATATCATCTTTTCCAGTAATTTATAGGGTGCGTCAAATTTTTCAACTTTCAATTTCCAAACATTAGAATAGAATAGAATAGAATAGAATAGAATAGAATAGAATAGAATAGAATAGAATAGAATAGAATAGAATAGAATAGAATAGAAAGTTGTGACATGCCTTGGGGATTGTAAAGATATTTTGGTTACTTTAATATAATTTAATGTGCTCGGTAATTAACTACATAAATATCATAACTTTTTAACATTTTGTTTGTTTCATTATAGCCTGTCATTTTTAAATCCATGTTTCAATCAATTTCAGTCCTATCAGATAAAACTTGTTCCTCTTTCATAATATCATTTCCACACAGTCTGTCTATAATGGCAGACAGCAAAGGGGTGAGCATAGATTGGCCACCTTTTTTGGGAGAAGTTGTAGATCATTTGCCCACATTGCATATGTGGGCATTTTCACATTTCCCAATCTTTCAATAGTGATTTGAAGATAATCTGTAATCACATTCTATTCTGCTGACCTTGAACTGTTGAAAATGAAGAGCAAAGAATCACCTACCCTACTGTCAGATTTTTTAGCCATACTCTACACAAAAAGACAATTAAGTTGCTTGCTCATGTTTCCTTGTCCCGATCCTTATTTCAAGTTATTGTATTTATCTAGTCATATTCCAAAGCACCTTCTTCCTTCGAGAAGGAGTTACTAAGCAGCTAAGCTACTTTCCCCCTGAAGTCTAGGTGCTATAAGGTAAAGTGAGACAGAAACGCTGTCCTTACAAAGGGCAATGAAATCACAATTCCATAGAGTCATAATGTTGTGTTTGTTGAAAAAGAACAGGCTCAGCTCTCAAACCAGTTTGATCTACTTTAGTCTAGAGAGCCAGTTTGGTCTAGTGGTTAAGGTGCTAGCCTGGGAACCTGGAGATGGTGAGTTCCAGCCTTATTTTAATCATGAAAAACCAGCTGGGTGACTTTGAGCCAATCATTATCTATCACCCAATGTACCTTATAGGCTGTTTTATGGAGAAAATAGGAGGGGGATAGAGTATTAGGTATGTTCACTGCCTTGAGTTACTTATAAAAAATAATAAAGGCAGGACAAAAATCAAATAAATAAAAATAAGTAAACACAGCCAATGTAGTTCCTGGAGACTCAAAATTGTTTTCATATGATTGTCAAGAATCTTCAGGTGTGGGAACTGACTGTCCAATAACCTAGTTTCAAGCCACACATTTCTGTTTTTTCTGGTGATTTCTACCTTTTCTATGCTTCTTAATTTAGATTCTTTTCACACATTATCATTACAGCTAGGAATAGATTACAATGCTCTTTGTATTGATTTATTACAAGATCAATTCATTTGAATGCAAGGCAGTTTTAGCAATACAATTCCATCCTGATATGCATGGCTAGAAAGTGAATCAATCGGTACGCTTTTATAAATTATCCACAAACTTTTATTTCTGTTCTTTAAAAGATATGAATGACCGTTAAGAAGCAACGCTTGCAAAATGACCTATTGGGCAGGACCTTATTGTGCCTGATGTGTAGAAATCAGAAACCTCCTGTGTACAGCTTGTAGGTTATTAATCCCCACTCACAGCATCTCTATCTCAAATCACAATTAGTATTTCAGGCTATGAAATAATGCCCCTGTATGGTTGCATTCAAACAGGAAACATACACACTTTGTCTTTTCCCTGATTGTATTCATTTTGGATTCACAACAGGCAACACCTCTTCTAAACCCGTTCAATGTCTATCTTTGGAGCAATTGTTAAATTCAATTGTTCAAATAATATTAGAAAAAATTCCTAGACGATACGACAGTGAACGCTCCAGCCTCAGCCTATGACATATAGAGAATGAGAGAGGGGGTGGGGAGCAAACAGACAGCTCTAAACTATGCCAATTATCCCCATTAATGAACACATTATACGCAAATTCCCATTCTTTGCTTATTTATTAGCCATTTTGGAGTCTGCCATAGTAAAAAGCCAAGGGTTCCTTAGATAAAGCACTTTCATGCCCTCTAGTGTCCAGATCGCATGGCTGCATGGCCTCAGTTTGGAACATTTAACTATAAGGTCAATCTCAAATAATTTTATGCTGAAACCAAGAATGTCAAGATCCAAGAACTTTTAATCACTGAACGGTCTGGCTTTTAACTGCATAACTGATTACATTACATCATCTAAAGAAAGCTGCTTATTTGGGAATTCTGTGAGAGTATGAATAAAAGCAGCTTAAAAAGAACAACATGTAGAGAAAGAAGAACCCCATTCTGTATTTTATGTTTAAAAAGTAAATTCTGTTCTTTCAAAGGTTTCCCCCTCTTTTTGAGAGATTATTTATTGATTGATTGATTAATTTTCTATGTGAGCCATCTTAAAAATTCAGCGACTCTTATTAAACACATGAACTCCATAAATGAACCTTCCTGTTCTGCAATATTATACCATTTACTCAGAGGTAAATCCCACTATTTTCAATAAAGTTTTCTCAGAAGGAAATGGGTTTTAGTCTTTGACCTTAAAAAAAACAAACATTCACAGTAGATCATTATCTACTTCCAGGAAAAATATAGATACAGGTAATCCTCATTTCACAACCACAATTGGAACTGGCAACTTGGTTATTAAGTGAAATTGTCTCTAAATAAAACTACTAAAACTACAACTGTGCTTACAGTCTTACTTCAATTTTGCTTTGTTTTACAGACCTGCAAAGTCTGTAAGTGTGAGGTTTAGTCGCAAAGTTACTTTTATATCATTGGGTTGTTTTTTTTAAAATTTGATTTATATGCCGCCCTTCTCCGGAGACTCAGGGTGGCTTACAATGCGTTAAGCAATAGCCTTCATACTTTTGTATATTTATACAAAGTCAGCTTATTGCCCCCACAAACTGGGTCCTCAATTTACCTACCTTAGAAAGGATGGAAGGCTGAGTCAACCTTGAGCCTGGTGAGATTCGAACTTACAGTAATTGCAGACAGCTGGTGTTAATCACAATGCTATCAGTCTGCTGAGCCACCAGGCCCTAACTACAAGCGGTCATTAAACAAGAAAATAGCTAAACAAGGACTAATTGTAGTTGGATAGCAAGCAAAGGTTATTGTTTACTAATGGAGGCAATGGAATTATAACATTAAAAAATGTTTCTGTTCTTCCCGTCAGTTGACTTCTCCTATCCTGACATACACACACACACCAAATCTACTTGCAATAGGACAACACTGGAATGTTTCCACAAGACATTTATACACGGTTAACCATGGTTTATTGAATTCATCCACCAAAAAAAAAGACACAGTGGCTCAGTGGATGGGACGCGGTGGCTCAGTGGATGGGACGCTGAGCTTGTCAATCAAAAGGTTGGCAGTTCAGCGGTTCGAATCTCTAGTGCCACGTAATGGGATGAGCTCCCATTACTTGTCCCAGCTTCTGCCAACCTAGCAGTTCGAAAGCACGTAAAAAATGCAAGTAGAAAAACAGGGACCACCTTTGGTGGGAAGGTAACAGTGTTCCATGCGCCTTTGGCGTTTAGTCATGCCGGCCACATGACCGTGGAGACATCTTCGGATAGCGCTGGCGCTTTGGCTTTGAAATGGAGATGAGCACCACCCCCTAGAGTCGGGAATGACTAGCACATATGTGTGAGGGGAACCTTTACCTTTACCTTTACCCATGGTTTATAGAATTCATCCACCAAATTCTATAGATTCTCATAACATGCTGAACAAAACACATGCCACATAGATTGGGTTTACATAACACTCTAGCGTGGAAAACCTGTTGGCTAATGTGGGATTATGAAGGTGAATGAAAGTAGCTCCAGGGCTAGACAATGGGTGGCTCCCCAGATATTGCTGAACTGCAACTTCCAGCATCTCTTACCATTAACCAAATTGGCTGGAGCTGCTGGAAACTGTAGTTCAGCCCTATCTGGAGGGCCTATCCCTGGGTTAAATTTTAAAATGTTTGTGCTTAATGAAATTTATCAAAGGCAGAATTCATGCATATAGGTCAGTGATCACCATTCAGTCGAATGAGTAAAAGCCAAGCAATATCCTCAAGCAGTACTGAGGCAGAGAAATAATTTTGGACTCCCAAAATTAGGTAATATGGTTTTGCTTATAAATAGACCTTGTGTAGGCGCCCTTATTCAAAACACCCCAGAGTAATTATTTGCAATTAATTGGATTTTTAAAAAATGTGCATGGTGATTATACATACAATAGGATATTTTCAAAAATATTAAATAAATAAATAAAACATCATTATATGTAATCATGAAAATACCACTTAAGTGTATTTATGCAAGTCGGGCATTTCTCTGGGATCATGTCTGAGCCGTGTTTGTAACAACAAAGCCATCCATGATTAACTGAACTACAATTTACTGAATTAACCTGAATTAATTTTCTCGATCTGCAGGATACACTATCCAACCCATACCCTAATCATACCGTATAATATGCTGTCTCACCAACTAGCCGGTTACATGTTCAGCCATGCTTGTTCTGCAGATCTAGGGCTTATTTCTTATTTTCCAGTGGGCAGAAGCAGAATTTTTGCCATGAGGAAATGTAGAATTTCTCCCATCATTAGCATTCTTTCAATGATGGTGAATCTTTTTAAGCTCAGCAATTCAAAAATTCAGAAAATGCTAATTTGACTGTGTTGGCAGATCTCACACATACACACATTGAACAAAAGAGAAGTAATTCTCTATCTCTTCTCCCCACCAATCTATGCCACCATGAACAGTGGCACTCAGCAGCAGTGTCAAGGATGGGCCTGAAATAGAGGCCCAGGCCTTAACTTCAGCCCCAGTGCCACCACTGCCACTCAAAAAGGCCACCTTGCAGCCCCAGGATTTGCCACGTGCTGCTTACCTTAAGGCTATAATTTCTTTCTTTCGACAGGCCCCTGTGGCCTACTCAAGGCTGATCTGGATCCCATCAGGCCTTCATTCTTGAAGTGGCTTCAGACAATTCACTTCTGCAGCCAATGCAAAAACACATCCTGTTCTTATACAATTTTCGGAGCTGCAGAGGCAACACACAAGCATACCTCATTCACACAATGCCTGCACATCCTCCAAAAATCATTTGAGAATGGGGCGTGCTTTCCAGAATAGTTATTGTCGACTGTTTAGTGAACGCTGGCATCTCACCCAAAACTTCATAGCATGCCTTCTTTGACATGTATATCATAGGTTCGCCATCACTCCTCTATCTGCATCTTTGCTCATCCTGTTGTTTTCCACATATGACAGATTACAATTAGCATCACCAGTGAGGCACTGAGAAGGAATAGAACAACGGAAACGTTCAATAGAGGAAAGAATCAGAAAAGTCCTGGTTGCGCCTTGGAGAAATATCTAGTTTTTGGTACAGTGCAACAGTGCCAAGTAAAGCATTAGTAAATTGACTGAATAAATGCAATAGTTATTCTTTAAAAAGCGCCTCCCACATAATTTAAGAATGGAAGAAAGAAAGTTAGCCCGCTTAGCATTCAGGTGCACAGTTGTTAGAAGGGTGAGTTCATCAGCTATAGGTACATGATTTTCTGATTTTCTGGGTAAACTCCTAATACCCAAATGGGGCACTAACTGAGCAAAACAAGAATCAGTCTTCCCAGAAACGTTACCTTTCAGTTGTCTTCCACCCTCTGTAAAAATGAATGCTTGGGAAGAAGGTCTGCATAAAAACATCCAAGAAGGAGGCCCAAATGACCCTTCTCCAGTCATTTTCTCTGCAACAAATTTTTAACATGTGCTGAAATCCAAGAATTTATGCAAACAGGTAATCTGATTCTGACTGTACTGATTTTAGGGTTGGAATTAGGGTTAGGCTATATTCCTCTTTTCCCCCTAAACTTTTTATAATTAGAGTTTTGGCTCCATTGGTTTAGAAAGAAAAATTCTCATGAAACCTTCCATATGTGCAAGACCACACAACTGTATAGCTACCTCTTAAACTTGGCACCAGAGTTATTTAACTCGTTCTTTTAGATTTTAGAAAGTGGCTCCAAATTATCTTCCTTTCTATTTTTCCAAGAGTTTGAAATCTTGGACAGAAAAGTTAAAAATTCCCCAATGAGACAAAGGGTGTGTCAAGACATTCAGCCCAAGAAATGGCAGCCAATCATAATAATATTTAATGGGCTATTTTGAAAGAGGAGTCCACTAGTGAGTTTTTAAATAATCCTCCCCTGCCCTTTTTCAACCCGCCATCCACACAAAGTAATGTGCAAAGGCTTACGGCCAGCTGGTAGTGAGGCCAAACCAAAAATATATCCGCTGCCATGAGTAATTATGAAACCAATCATGAGAAAAGAGATACTTTCCTTTTGAATGGGTGAAATAGGAAGATGTGTGGATAGGTTTCACCATCGCTTTTATATATTGCAAGTCAATATTGTAGTTTTTCGATTCCTTGAGAGGATTAAATATTCCCAGTGACATTTTCCACTTGAATATATTGTATAATCTGGAGAAGAACAGTAGCATGTTCCTCAATGATTGTGCTTCTTGGAGATTGTGTAGATGCTGAGGCAGCGCCTGGTGGGGAAACAAGTACAGTAGCATCTATAAACACATGCAGAGAACTCTACAATATCCGACTGGATATATGGCCTGCTGGGGAAATTGCTGGAGCTGTCAGCCCTGCATTGTAGCACACACCACCTGTAGTTGGAACAAGTCGCATTGTCTGCCAGATGCTGTATGATTCAGATCATGGCTAGCAGGCTTTCCAAAAACATACCTGAACACCAGTGGTGGGCGAACAGCAAGCTTTGTGTTATCCTCATTCCAAATAACTGAGCCTCAATGCCATGGCAAACCACCAGGAACAACTGTGTTAAAAAGATGAGGCATTCTCTTTTCTCCAAATACTGCAAACCTTGGAGCATTTATAAGTGTGCTCTCCAGGAGCAGCGATATTAAGATATGGATTTTTTTTAAGGGGGGGTTGTAATGTGCTTAACCTGAAATGGAAGCTTTGCCTTGATTTTTCAGTCTCTTCTTTTATTCCATGATTCCATATTATTTGAGCTCAGACATACTGAAAGGGATGGATGTCACAGGCTGAAGAAGGCTAGAGAAAACATAATGAAGAGGAAGAGATCTAGGGTTATCCCATTTCCCCAGGCATTTAAAAGATGGATTCCTGGTAAAAAATTCAGCAGGCACAGCTTTTGTGGCACGGTGGTTAGAATGCAGTACCACAGACTATTTCTGCTGCCTGCCAATTACCTGCAATTTGGCAATTCAAATCTCACCAGGCTGAAGGTTGACTCAGCCTTCCATCTTTCCGAGGTTGGTAAAATGAGAACCCAGATTGTTGGGGGCAATATGCTGACTCTGTAAACCGCTTAGAGAGGGCTATAAGGCACTGTGAAGCGGTACATAAGTCTAAGTGCTATTGCTACTGTGTTTCCCCGAAAATAAGACCCTGTCTTATATTTTTTTGAACCCTGAAATAAGTGCTTGACCTTATTGCCATGCGCTCAAAAGCCCAATTGGGCTTATTATCAGGGGATGTCTTATTTTGGGGAAAACGGTATTTTACATGTGCATCCATGTTCCATTTAGCAGGTTGGAGAATCTGTGACCTTCAGCTATGCTAGTAGTACTGTATTGTCTGAAAGTCCACAAATTTTCTATTATACAACCTGCATTGCCATTTTGATGATGATATCCTTGTTACGATTCTCTTTATTAAGTTGCTAGTATCTTTAAAAGATATGAATGACAGTTAAGAAGCAACACTTGTAAAATGACCTATTGGGCAGGACCTTATTGTGCCTGATGTGTAGTAATCAGAAAGCTCCATTGTACAGTTTATAGATTATTAATCTCCACTCGCAACATCTCTTCCTCAAACCACAATTAACATTTCAGGCTATGAAAGAATGCTCTGTTTGGTTGCATTCACACAGGAAACATACACTCTTTGTCTTTTCCCTGATTGCATTCATTTGGATTCTGGTGCATTCTGAAGTGGCACATGTGTTACCTGGTCCACTTTGACCCGTAAGAAAGAGAATGGAACCATCTGCTAGCATTCATCGGTGGAAGTGAAAAGAAGAACCTGGTTGGCTCATACATACATACATACGTTAAGAGAAGAAAAGAGATGAAGACAGACCCATGTATATGCAGGAGGCTGCATTAAGATTGCATGTTTGCATTTTATAGCTTTCTTTAAGCAAAAAGCAAAAAAAGAAAATTATACTAGCTTTTTAGATGAAAGAAATGCCCCCACTGACTTAGCTCAAGACATACGTTACTTAAAGGATGTGGTACTTTAAATAAAGGTTTTGCAGGGTATAATTGAGGCAAGATTTCATCCTGGCAGTTTTAAACACAAGCCTTAATTATAATATGAGTATTTGCATGCCAACGCTAACCAGGCGGCTAGAATTCATTCTGGCCTCCCAGTCAGGTCTTCTATGTATTTTTGAGAAAGGCTTATGATATGGAATGCCCCCCCCCTATATTTAAGAAAGCTTTCATTTATCCCAGTCCTCTTATTAACTGCTAGCAGGAAATGACCCTGCAAAGCCCACAAACAGAGCACAAGGATCTTTCAGGACTCCATTCTCTGCTTCTTTCCCATTCCTGGAAGGCAGAGGTATATAATATGTATGTTCCCTCTGAGGACAGAGCCCCTTCCTAACTTTCATGGCTAAAATAATACATCTATTCACAAAGAATAAGTTGAGTATGACTACTTTTGAATCCTCTTTCTAGAAGCCATGTGGGATGAAGGTAGCCCAAAGGCAGCTTTAAAACAGATGCCATTTTTAAATGCCCAAACAAGCTCTTGTGGTGCCTATATCAAAAGTAACCCCTTCCTACAACAGACGTATAACAATAACGGATTTGGAAGGGACCTTAGAGGTCATCTAGTCCAACCCCCTGCTCACGCAGGAGACCTATACTAGGGATTCGAACCGCCAAACTGCCAACCTTTCTGATCGACAAGCTCAGCGTCTTAGCTACTCTTTCTTCCTCTATCCATTTTCCAAGCTAAACGCAAAAGGGTTTATCCCATCGACTGTCTTCTGCTACTCACCCCTGTAGGTACTGAGGAACCACAATCACAACATAAGCCTGCTGGCAAACCAGTGTTGGGTTGCTCCCGGTTCAGACCAGTTCTATAGAACCGGTAGTAAAACCGGCGGGAGGCTCCACCCACCGACCCCAATGTCATCAGGGTGCGCGTGCGAGTGGCCCTGTTGTGAACCGGTAGTAAAGGTAAGTAGAACTCACCCCTGTGGCAAACAGCTTCCAGTTGGGGGCTGTTGCAAACAGAGTGTCCTCCTCAGCATGTTTGCTGGCTCCCCACAACCATCTCCTCCTCTTCTCCTCTCAGGACAAATTTTCCAGTGAATGAAAGTGGTTCATTAGCAGCCAGATAACAATCAGTGCCCAGTGGAGGAACTGCGCCTATGGCCAAGCTCTTGAAATTCCATGAAATTAACCAGAGGAAATCACCTGTTGAGGTTTTCCTCCACTAAAGACCAGGGAGATTTCTTTGCAAGTGCAACTATCAAAGGTTGGTCTTGCTGAGAAATGCTGGCACAGCCAGAAACAGTTAAGATTGACATCTAACATTATATGGTTCTTCAGCTCCAGAGAAACAGAAAAAAAATAGGATTATTTATTTTTAATTACAATAATGTAATTAGGTTAGGAGGTTTCCAAGAAATGTATACATGGGGCCCAACATGTGCCAGATTACCTATTCCCAGATTTCCAGGATTTAAAACCCTTGCTTCTCTATTCAAAAATAACATGGACCTTAAGATACAAGCCCCCAGGTTAAGAATGTGATTTAAGGATGACCCATAGTTAAGAATGGAGTCTATTGTAACAAAATCTGAGATAAACATACAATAATTCACGTTAAATACACAATAGTTCAAGTTCATTGCACAATATTATTTATTGTGCACAGCTTACATACAAATTTGACTTAAAGACAGTCCTTGGGAATGGCAATCTTTCCTAAACTGGGGATTCCCTGTATAATCCTTTACATCTCCCATTTGACCCCAAGTTCTGGTACTGGATGAAGATTTCAGAAGATGCCCTGGACAGCTAAAGTAATTCATAAGTATAAGGCCCAAAGCAAGCATACCTTTTGGACCCTCCGTGAAACTGGAGACTTTTAGCCATCTTCTGTCTAAATTATAATTTACTGTCAATGGCTTTGCTTACTGCCCGGGTAATTTTCCTAGGATCATTGGCTCCTATTAGCAGCAATGCCTTTTCATCCATCCATATTACTGTCCTCTGTGTCACATGTCCAATTATTGAACCTGCTGGAAATGTTATCCCCCAGAGCCTCGGCCCTTCCCCAAACTATAGTCTAGTTTTCTTCCAAAACCTGTCTCTGTCCACATATTAGAGTCTATAATTGTGGACTCAGCATTAAATCACTTGTGGTATTCTTCATCACTTAGCTAAGTTAAGCAACAAACCTGGGGTCTTTTAAATGTTGATGAAATACAACTCCCAACAGCCCTAGGCAGCTTGGTAAATTATGGGAAATGCTGGGAATTGTAGTTCAACAACATCTGGAGGGCCATAGGTTCCCTGCATCTGGCAGATATTTGTTCCCTGGGCTATGAGGTCATCCTGAAGTTGACTTCAACATGACCTCTGCCGAAAGATGCACCTGAATTGCCAAATCTTACTCAGGTATGGTCCTTCCTTCCTCACCTCCTCAGGCTGTTTGAAAAAGTTAACGCTATATTCTAAGGTCCTTCCCATAATACATATTATGAACAAATTCTCTCACACACATACATACAAATTGCATGCAGAATTTTGTAGTTATCTGTGAGACTTAGACTGCTCCCAGAAGAACCTTTTTTTAATGACCAATCAAGATGTATCACTCGTTACAATAATTTTATCTTCAAACTTTATTCATCAGACCATATGTTATATTCTTTTAAGTCATTTTTCCTCTTAATGAGGATCATATGCTTAGCAAGACGGGTCTGGCATAAAGGCAGAAATCTCAGAAACTGGTTTGTTCAAACAGCACTTTGATCCTATTGGAACTGGGATGGGTTTGTCATCTGCAGTGATATTCTTCATTTTCACATTTCCCTTGTGCATCTCTTCAGCCCCACTCCATCCCCGGCAAATTTTGAAGGTGTATTTTTTTTTTTCCTAAATCAAATTCTGGAATTTACACCTTCAGGTTTTTTGTTTGTTTGTTTGTTTTTTAGATTGTGCTGCTTTATCTCTATCTTTTAGATCAGGGGTGTCAAACTCGATTTCATTGAGGGCCGCATCAGGGTTGTGTTTGACCTTGGGAGGGCGGGGGGGCATGGTCAGGAGCAGAGGTGGGTTTCAGCAGATTCTGACCAGTTCTGGAGAACCGGTAGCAGAAATTTTGAGTAGTTCGGAGAACCGGTAGTAAAAATTCTGACTAGCCCCACCCCCATCTATTCTCTGCCTCCCAAGTCCCAGATGATCGGGAGGAAATGGGGATTTTGCAGTATCCTTCCCCTAGAGTGGGGTGGGAATGGAGATTTTATAGTAGCCTTCTCCTGCCACACCCACCAAGCCACGCCCACCAAGCCACACCCACAGAACCTGTAATAAAAAAAATTGAAGCCCACCACTGGTCAGGAGGCGTGGCCAGTTCGATGTCACTTGTGTCAGGGGTGCCTGTGATGACCCAAGTGCGCTGCGGCCCTCCCGAGCTCCGTTTTTGCTGGCAGAGGCACCATGGGCCGGCCCTTCACTGTTTCCTGGGCAGCTGCACGGGCCAGATCTAAGTACCCTGTTGTCTGGATGCGGCCTGCGGGCCTTGAGCTCAACACCCCTGTTTTAGATTCTGAGTAAAAGGGATATTTTTATATTCTAATATTAGAATATTCTAATATGTAGACCCTAAAATAGTACTGTAATGCTGAAAGAGGGAGACAGGATTGTGAAGATACAGACAACCTTTTTCGGATACTGTCCAAATTATACAATTCTTTGATGCAATTCTTGACCACATGAAACTCCCTGGGTTGACCCAATAAGTCCAGTTTTTTAACGTTGTGCTGCACGTATCCATTTCTTCATTATTTTCAACACAGAACTACTGATATAATCATAGGAGGACTCAGAAGTTAACAGTTAGGGGCATTTGGAAATTCAGAAATGCCTCTTTTTACAAAATCCGTACACCAAAACATGCACACAGTACAGGCGTTAAGAGCCTTCTGTGCACTTGCTTACAATTATTACTGTGTTCAGAGGGATGAATGGCTGGCAGGCAAAAGGGAAAAGTGATTTAAGGCATTTCCATACCATATGAGGCTAGTTGCACTCCTCGATCTTTAACAAAGCTGCTTGAAGCCAAGTTGCAGTCATCACTTCTGCAAACCTCCAAACACCGACAACAGATGGGAACCCACCATGAGCCAATCAGTGCTCATTTCCAGCTGACCAATAGAAGAATGCGACATATTACCCAACTTCATGTCCCATGAGATCTATCCCAGAATCCTGAAGCAACAGAAATCCCTTCATCTAAACCTCACCACACAAAAGGGGAATAACGTAAATTTCTAGCAGCTCCATCCTTCCCACTCCTTTCAAACACATGTTGTGTGCATTTGCAGCACAGCAAAAAGACTGTTTTGCTCTGGTTTTTAGATAAACTGGCTGAACCAGGTTAAAAACAGCAACAGAGTGATTCCGTGATTCAGAGCTAATTTTGAACTGATGCAAAACATCAGCAATAATAAAACAGGTGGAGTTGCTCCTAGGTAGCAATTCATCCCAATCTATCTAAGGTATGGGTGAATGGAGCAGATTTATTTGCAGAAAAATGCAATCCATTTAATTGTTAAACAATTTAACAATTCAGGTTAAGTTCTGCAAGCGATAATAGCAACAGCATTTACTTATATACCGCTTCACAATGCTTTACAGCCCTCTCTAAGCAGTTTACAGGGTCAGCATATTGCCGCCGCCCCCGCCCCCCCCCCGCAACAATCTGGGTCCTCATTTTACTGACCTCAGACGGATGGAAGGCTGAGTCAACCTTGAGCTGGTCAGGATCGAACTGCTGAACTGCTAGCAGTAGGGCAGTCAGCAGAATTAGCCTGCAATACTGCATTCTAACCACGGCTCTAAAATGGGAGAGAATGGAAAACGACAAATGTAAAAGAAATTTCATGCAGAAGGAACAGTCAAAAGAAGCACAGCCCTCTGGCACTAGATGGACGACAAGAAACTCAACCAGGCAGCCACAACATTTTAGGCTTGTTTATTTAGAGGTTAATAATGCCACTATTCTGTGTTACTCAGAAAAAGTGCATCTGACTTCAAGGGCAGTTTAAAGTGTTCCATTAAGGTGTAGTTAAGTATTTTATTTCACTTACTTATTTTGGTGCCTTTGAGTCATTGTTGGCTCCTGGCAATTGCCTGGAGTTTGCAGTTTTCTTGACAAGTTTTCAGAAATGGTTTCTGCTTGCTTCCTTCTTAGGACTAAGAGAGAATGACTGGCCAAAGGTCACTCAGCTGGCTTTGTGCCTAAGGCAGGACTAGAACTCACGGCCTCCCAAGATTCTAGCCTGATGTCTTAATCACTACACCAAACTGGCTCACTTTGAGTCAGTTTTTGACTCATAGCAACTGAATAGACTAATCCTTGCAGTTTTCTTTTGCAAGCACCCTTGCCTCTTTCCTAATGTTGAACGAAAAAAAGATTAGCCCAAGGTCACTCAGCTGGCTTTCTGCCTAAGGTGGAACAAGAAATCAGGGTCTCCCAGTTTTTAGCCTGATGCCTTTAACTACTACATTAAACTGGCTCTCTTAAATATTTATAGGAGGGAGAAATATTATGCGATTTCTATAGCTTAGAAATTAGCAATAGCACTTAGATTTATATACCGCTTTACAGCCCTCTCTAAGCGGTTTACAGAGTCAGCCTATTGCCCCCAACAATCAGGGTCCTCGTTTTACCCACCTCGGAAGGAGGGAAGGCTGAGTCAACCTTGAGCCTGGTGAGATTCAAACTGCCAAATTGCAGGCAGGTGTCAGTCAGCAGAAGTAGCCTGCAGTACTGCACTCTAACCACTGTGCCACCGTGGCTCAAGAAATTAGCAAGGAACCTACAGGTAAAGGTGCTATTATGATCAACATCATTGTCATTACTATTGCAATGAAGTACAGAAAATGCCATCTCTCCATTGCCATCCAGTGGTCACCCAGGCTTTTGCGGCCTAGATCTGGTAGCCCTACATTTCTACGGGGAAGTCTCAATCATTCATATACATGCACAGAAGTGGTAAAACTAACATTTTTAGATGTTTAAACTAACATCCTAATCTAGGTTGCATATGAGCTTTAATTACTTTTCTCATTTAGAACAGAAAAATTCTTGTACGTTTGAAGATCAGGAGTGAGTCATTTTTATGGATAGGGATTTCATATCATGACAAAAATGAACAGCGAGCTTGGCTTCTCTCTACATTTACTCACACTGTCTTCCCAATCACCTAGGAATCTAATACCAGGTAAGTAGCAAACGATGGGAAAGGTTTTAGAAATGAGACAACACACAGGAGCCCTCCTGTGGCCAACTAAAAGATGGCAAGTCTTTGTTAGTAATGAAAAATCCAGAGACTTTTTAATAGATAGAATACTTTATTGGCCAATTGTGATTGGACATCCAAAGAATTTGTCTTCAGTGCATAAGCTCTCAGTGTACATGCAAACAAAGTAATATAATCATAAGATAGCAATAACAGAAGGTAGTAGAAAAGATAAGAAGAATAGTAATACAGCCATACTATCCTTAAAAAGGTAAATATCTTTAGACATAAGACAATACTGTGGGAATTAGGTGTTCAGCAGAGTGATTGCACAAGGGGGAAAAACTGTCTAATTGTTTTGGCATGCAATGCCCTATAGCTGCATCCTGAGCGGAGGAGCTGAAATGGTTTACGTCCAGGATGTGAGGGGTCTGTAGATATTTTCTCAGTCCTCTTCTTTAAATATTTTCTATGATAGTGGACTGATTAAAATGAACTGCAGGTCGTCCTTGCTTAACAATGGTAATTGGGATTGGAATTGCTAAACAGTGCAATCATAAAATGTGATATCACGTAACTGCAATAACAGTTTTGGCAGTCCCAGGTTACTGTCATTAAGCAAATCACTATGGGTCATTAAATGAGAACCTCATGGGACTGAAACTTCTGACTTATTGCTGCCTTCCCTATTGACCAGGGCTGTCAACTCACAGCCCATGGGCCAGATGCGTCACACGCTGGCCATGCCCACGCCCAGTTTAGCGAAGGGGGAAAAAGTCACGATACGTCATGTTATGATGCTGTGACAACGTGGGTTTGACACCCCTGCTATTGATTATGTTTGTGGCAAGCTGGCAGGGAAGGTCACAAATTGTGACCTCATAACCTTGGGACACAACAATAGTCAAAAATCCAGGTAGATTACTGAGGAGCCATATTGCAGTCACATGATCGCGAGGGAGCTGCAACAGGCAGAACTTTAAAGACCCCTCATTGCAAGTTTGAATGGTCACTGAATGAGTAGTCATTAACCAAGGACCACATGCAAAGGAAAAAGACCGCATCTGTTAGAACCATGATGGCGAACCTATGGCACGCGTGGTAAGGACTGATATCCCAGTGACGTCGAAGCTGTTCCAGGAGAGCTCTTTATGAGCCAGATTGCCTCCTCCTGAGGCGCGATGCAGCGGAAGCCCCCTGCCCCTGTACAGTCGCGGCGGGAGAGCTCCTTATGAGTCAGTCCGCCTTACAACTCTGTTCTATGTTAAGCCAGGCCGCCTTACAACCTGTGACAGAAGAGCTCCTTGTGAGCCAGGCGGCTGCCTACGAGAGCGCAACGCGGCCGAAGCGACCGGTCTCCTTACAGCCACGGCAGGAGAGCTCTTTACGAGCCAGTCCGCTTCTAAATCAGCGTTGTCACCTAACGCAGGACAGCTCCTTGCGAGCCAGGTGGCCTTCTACTGGAGCACCATGTGGCTGAAGCACCTGGCGCCATTACAGCTGTGGCGGGAGAGCTTTTTACGAGCCAGGCCGCCTTTCAACTCAGCGCTAGATCACCTGAGGCAGGAGACCTCCTTGCGAGCCAGGCTCCCTTCTCCTGAAGTGCAGTGTGGTGGAAGTGTGGCGGAAGCCGTCCCCCCAGTTCAACTGAGCTCCACCGCACATGCATGCGTGCCTCCCGCCGGCCAACTGATTTTCAGGTCTCTGCCGCACATGTGTGGGGGGCGGGGTGCATGTGGGAGACACATGCACATGCACGGGGCCCCTGGGAGTGTCCTGTGTGCATGCGCAGGGGTCACACATTCATGCACGGGGGGGAGGTCACATGCGCATGCATGCGGGGGGTGGCAAGCACAGGGGGGTTGTGTGTGCATGCATGGGGGGCAGGACGCACGGGGTGCGCACGCACATTGCATTATGGGTGCTGGCACGCGCTGTCAGCACACAACAACAAAAATGTTAGCCATCACTGCGTTAGAAAGTGAATTGCCCAGTTGGTCAACTGATTCTGCACAAAATGTTTTGTAAAAAAGAAAGCAAAAAAAAATATGTTTCCTGAGGAATGGACGGGGGAGGGGGAAGAATTGGGAAGGGCCATTTAGGTCATCAAGCCCTTGCTCAGTATGATTTCAAATTAAAACAATCCCCACAGATGGATATCATCAAGTGGTGTTGGAAAATCATTATTTTCATATTCCGACAAAGGCATACTGCCAACTATTAGCGCAGTCCAGGTTTCACCGATGAAAACTGTCCTTTGATGTTTCCAAAGTCAGGAAAAGCTCTTGCTCCAATGTGCAGTTAGTCAAAATTTGCAGGGGAGTTGGGGTCTTTGAGATTGCATCCACTATTGGCGAAGGCTAAAAGCAGCTACAGTTCCGGGTATGGAACTGGAGGGACAGAAAAGGGATTTAACACAGATTTGTCTTCCTCAACATGGCGCCTTCTGAATGTGTTGAGACCCCAAGTCGTAGATTTCTTGATATTTTAGCATCAAACTGAGGAAAACTAAGTCTTTGCAGCCGAACTGAGAAAGGTTCAAAGGTCTCACGTTGTTCTTATTTTAAGATATTGAACCCCATATGCTGAAAGGTGCTTGGAGTTATAATTCAGCATGAACTGAACCAGCCACATGTTTTTATTCATGCTGCAATATACACATGTCTTATAAAATTCAAAATAACAAGGAGAAATAACAGACTCCTGGCTTCTTACAAACTAACAGTTTTATTGTAGGACAAGCTTTCCTAGATTCTGTTCCACTTTACCTAATCTGTGGAGGGAAGCATTCTCCATGCATGAGAAATGCACAGCTGAAAACTAGAGTGAGGAACATCATGATACAGAAT